GCAACTTAAAATTTAAAAATATTCCATACTCTAGAGACGTGAGTGATATGTCGCGGTCGGTCCACTTTAATTTATTGCCGAGCTTTTAATAAATATATCGTTATTTATTTTTGTACGCGGGCTTGTCATTTTTCATCATGGAACTTGCGATCTGCAAAATTTACGGCTACTTCCAACCTCGCGCTTTACTTCGTCATCAATGACATTTATGATACATTAATGAATGCCCGTTCCATCGTGCACATTTGTTTCACGTCCCGTCTAATTAATACGCGACATCGCTGCGGCGTTTCTGTCTTTCGCGGTCGGTGGATCGGGCTTTGAGGTGGCTTTCGTTGTCGGTACAAAGCGAGCATTATGCCCGGAACCATCTGGCATCGAGGAGGCGAAAGAGCAGGCGTGGAATATTTATCAACAACCCGGAAAGAGCGGTGCACGGAGAGGTATCTCCCCGCCGGAGAAATGTCGCTATAAATCACCTCGCTTTTCAAAGCCGATCATGTTTTATAAACGAAGGCGGATAAGTCGTATTAACACGTCCGGAGATACGCGGGAATGCCAATGAATTAAATAAGATGATGCGGCTTCTTTCTCCACCCCCGCGCGCGCACCCTGATTGATGCCCTTCGAAGCAGATCTATTATTATTGTCTGACCTACTCAAGAACGAGGATTAAACCCCTCAACTCTCCTACCGACAGACTGCACTGTCATCCAACCGGAAATGGGAATGCGGGACTCGTCTATAGACTCCCAGGCGAATAAATCTCGCCTGCACTTTGTTGTCTCTAAATGCAAGTTACGTTATTCCCTTTCATAATCGATCCTTATCATTTATCGGCTAATCTTGGAGAAGTTCTTGTAAAGCAATCTAATATCTGTTTTATTACTTTTGTTATATTTTTAACGTTCCACTATCATCAACACGAACACGAAAATAAGTCGTTTTGCTTCTGTTATCTCTATTCTCTCTCATAATTCATCAAACTAATCTAATTTGCAAAGTTTATTATTTCCGTCAAGATTTTTATAAGATCTTTTTGTTTCATAACACAATGCCTTCATTCGTATCTAACTTCCGGATATCTAATTCCAATGGTGCTAGAACAGTTTTCCTTCACGCCTGACGTTTTTCCGTCGCGGCAGATAAGCTTCGATAAATCACGTTTGCAACGCCGGTACGCGGCTCAATGCACCCCGTCCGGGCGAATGCATCTTCACAGGACAAAGGGATTACGTGCTTTCCTTATCACGATCTCGAGCGGGCAAGCGGGCACGTTCTATCACTCTCTCTCTCTTTCTCTCGCGAGGCTCTGCTTTGTGCGTCGCGTTCGCGGAAGCATCCGCTCTTGAATTTATATCGCGGCCGACCCCCCGAAGGATTTCTCCTACCACGAGCATCGTATCTCGCACGGACACAAAAGGGGGTCGTCGACCCGGATGAGGCAACACCCCGGACAATTAGGTCTGTTTTTTTATTCCTGCACATTGAAAAAAAAATTTACTGAATCTTAATATTTCTTCGAATAGTACTAATTATTTACTCTTACAGAGTAACTAAATATTCACTCGTTAACAAAAATGATGATTAAATCAAATTAATGATTTTTGTATCAAATAAAGTTTATGTTTAGTAAATATTTACTTAGTACTATTCAAACAAATAATTATTAAAATTTATTAGTATTTTATTTTCCAATGCATTAGACTGCAATAGAACTTTCTTTCTCGTTTCCAGCAAATATCTATTTCGCTTTAAGTTTCTAAAAGACAAAAGGCTTAGATTAGAGTATGTTCGCCGATCGGACGTGTGCTTCTCGAGGAACGAGTGATCGCAGTGGCGACGATTTGCACGCGCGAATTCTCGCTTCTATTCATAAGCCAATCTGAAATGCAACGGATCATACATATTACATGGTGCACACTGGATGCAGCGGTGAGCGGCGCATAAAAATTTACCGGTCGTTCGCAGATACGGTGACAATTTTACATAATCCAGTGTACCTCCCGTTTTTTTCATTAAGCTGTGAAACAATTTAATTATCGCGTCAATCGTTCGATCGTTTCTATCGGTATTCTTTTTCCTAACCTGAATGTCGCGAGGACTCGAGCCGACGGAAATCGAATTTCCGTTTCTATTTAATGATCGTCGTACGATATTTCGTGCTCACGCCAAGAATCAAGCTGCTCTTTTTTGAGATTGTATCACATGCAGAACACATACATGATGCATATCATCTGGAATTAATTTAAGAATATAGAAAACTCATGTTTATACAAAGAATGAGCCTAACTCTTATAGCTATGACTGATAAAAAAATTTAAAAAAATCGGACAGTTTATCTTTTTTACGAATAATTGAGACAGAACTTCACAAAATTGGATATATTTGAATTTTACATAAATAAATAATTTAATGATGACAGAATGCTCGAATATTAAGTCCAAATTATAATTGAGTAATAGCGAATTCGATTTGACGCACTAGTGCATGTTAAAACCATTACATACACCGATTTAATTGTGTAAAAGTGAAATACAAATGTTTCGAATTATAAAATATCGCTTTTATTTAATAGCAATAAAATATATTGAGGATTTATTCCGTTTTCAGTGCAATTCGCTATAAGTTAACGATTTATCATATTTAAGTATATTATAAAATATTCTACATATACGCTATGACGTGGTCGCACGCGAGACCTCGTAGCCGGAGATTGCACTCACTCGATAGGAGACTGACAATCTCGTTCGAACCTTATTCAGACATTTCAGACGTCCCAGGCTCCTCGATTCTCTGTGATAGTATGACTAATCGCGAGCACACGGAATAATACGTTGGCGCGTCTCGCGTATTCAGACTGCATTTAAACAGCGCGACGAACCGCATTTTTCTCGAATAAACGATGTGAGTCACTAAATGCGATTCCACTAGTTGCGTGTTTTCGTCTAGTCGTATGAGAGATGTGCCGCGCAGAGAAGTCGCGAGAAGTTACATTGGCAGCGAGCCACGTCGTGTCATCGCTCGTGCAACGCAAATTCGAGATTTCCTCGGCTGGCAGGTAAACACGCGCCCGCTGTTAAATGCTCTCAATTATCGACCATCTTGAAATAAAATGTGTTGCGACCCGTCCACACCCCGGCGCGATACTTAACACCTTCTTTGACCGCGTCGCCGCCGGGGACTCCAGACTCCAACGATTACAACTCATCTCTAGAGAACGCGCAACTTCATAACCAACACAATATATATATATATATATGTATATATGTATATATATATATATATATATATATATATGTTCCATTCACATTTCTCTTCGTAAAAATTATTTATTTAGTTTACAGTAAACAAACGGAAATTAGCAAAGAAAAATTAATCATAAGAAGTTAAGCTTTATCTAACGACTTATTATAAATTATTACTTTAAGATTAATGTTTTATTAATGTACGACAAAGTGCTAATCTTCAAGTATATATTCTTGTTATTTATGTTATTCTCACGATTAAGGATTAAGGATTAAATTAGAGAGTGCTAATTGCATTGTAAATCAGTGCCAACCGAACATGTTGCAATTCTGTTTTCTCTCTAATCTGTCCTACACTCTGCTTCGTGTTACAATGTCTAGTTAGCCTAATTCCAAAGTGATTCGTTTCTCGTGTTTGACAAATTCGTAAATCATTGTGTTATCATTTTATATAAATCTTTATTTGCGTAAATCTAATTTTATGTTGAAAATCAATAAAATTAGATTATTACTTGAGAATAAGTGTTACAATGATATTTTATGCATAATATATTTAGTTATATTAATATTATAAAAATCCAATCTATTTGAATTTTAAATTTATAAATTCCAATATATTTGGTTTTTAATACGAGTATATATTTAATCAAATTAATTAATTCAGTCGCGATTTAGCAATTAAATAATTAAATATGAACTTATCATAATTAGGCTAGTTACAAAAATATTGCTGATTCTAATCTTTAAGTTCCGGTCGTTCTCGTTGATGAAACGAACTATAATGCTCCGAATGAAAAATAGTATGTGGCAAAAAATCGACTTCTTTAGCGAGAAAATTTGGTATTGTCGATGCATCTGTTAGAACATGTAACATTCATGAATGGACTGAAATGCAGTTTTGCCATTTGTCTCGTGTTGCTCCTTGACCTCTCGGTTCAACCTACCTACGCCACACAAACTTTCTGTCTGGATGCGTTGCGAGAATATTGTGAGAACGGTTAAACTTATACCGAATACCTCGCATATGTTGTTGTTGCGCCAATAGAGATGCCCTGGAGAACGCACCAAGTAAACTTCGTTTCGATTTGCTGCGCATGATATACGACGTGCATCGATCATGTGCTCGAAATAGGTTAGCGGAAATACGAGGTGCTTCAGAACTATCGCCGTTTCCCCTTAACGACAGGTTTCAGGAATGGACTGAAAAGAATGGCGATTGCTTTAATGTTGAGTTATTGAGCGTTTTTGAAGCGACTAATTGAAGTGTTTTAAAATAAAGCAAGACATCAAATAATTTGTATCTAAAATTGTTCAAAAAAACGTCGAGGCAAAAAAAAGAAAACTTTTGTAAAAGTAAACGAAGTTCAAATCTATAATCGTAAATTAATTAACCGTAATTAAAGTTATCATAAATATAATTCCATTAAAAAATATTTTTGCGTTTAATATCAAATTTTGTACACGAGTAGAAGTTTTATATTAAAAAATACAAACATCGAAATATTTTATTTATATGGTCTTTTTAAAGATCGATGGTGCATTGCCTATAATTTTTTTCCTCTTAATTGCTTAATTTAGAACTCGAGATGCATTTAATTAATGATTAACATCTTTGTTTCTCAACTTTTAAGCTTCCTTCGGAGAAGTCGAGGAACGATGCACACCATAGCCTAAATCAACATAGTGTGAAAATGTTCTCCTAAAATATCCTCGCATACATCTGTTAAAGTGCTTTGCTCTTTTCTGTTGCAGGAAGTGTTGCACACGATCAGTGCGCCCAGCGGTCAGGTTCAGCGTATCGTAATCTTCAAGAAAAACGGCGTGCAAGCTATGGTTGAATATCCTTTTCAATACATATTTTACTATGGTAGTGCTTTTTATTAGGTCTATTGACGGTGCTTATATTTTTTGCACTTATTATCTTTGCTTTCTTTCTCTTCAACGCTCGAATACTTATCTCGTTTTTAGTGCATAAATTTTAAGAAATTTCAAACAACGCGGACAAATCTATTGCTCACCTGCAATTTCGTTGATTTACGTTAACGATTCTCAGAAGACATCATATGACTCTCAGCTATGTAAATTAACACTTTAAATTCAGTTGTATTCGCACAGTAAATTACTAAGAAGCGTACCGCTAATGTTCTGTTTGCCAAGCATAATACTGTTTTACAACCGCAGATGTTACATGTTGTATATAAAGAATTAACAAACAGCCGTTATTACTCCCTGATGTTTAGCTCGCTGGAAATTTTTAATTTTCAAAATGATTAAACATCTCCGTCGTCTTATACTTCACTGGAAATTCCATTAAAAATATGATTTAAATTTATTGAGAAATTTGCCATTGAAATTTTGACAAGTAAAGTACAAAGAGTTTGAAATTTAAAAATGCATATAATACGAGTTCAAACAATGCCGTCGGGAAACAATTTATTTTACACAAATAAACCATTGCGTTTTCGCATGAATTTGATTTACACGGTAAACTTCAGGGCAATAGCGAGCGTTAAACACGCGAGTCAAGGGTCACCTTCGGCGAACTCGGAGCCCGCGGGATCAACTCTGACACGCTTTCTCAAGCCGGGAAAACTTTGTCAAGACATGCACTGCCGTTATAGCGTAATGAAGATTTATAACGAGGATGTGAACTGACGGAAAGGCTCGATTTTTTTTCAACGTAAACTCTTTTTCATGTATTCTGCATACGTTCAACAAGCTTTGAGCTTTATCTCGCGAGCCGTATTTTCGGTGAACCTCCGTATAGTGGAGTGTATATTCTAGACTATTACGATCCAAATAATAGTCAAGCCGCGTCCCGCGTGACTATAAATTCGTTAGAACTTTACGTCATGTCGGATTTATACTGCACGACGGCCACTTTGTGGGAAAACAACATTGTAATGCCGCAGTGAATTCCGTGAGATTTCTGTATCATAGGAACGCTACATTTTATCGTTTGTCGTAAAACTGGGTGATGAACATTATAATTCATGTAATTTTGTTTGTTTGTATGGTAACGTTGCATCTTTTTTCATCAATCTTTTTTTATTTATAATAATATGAAGGAGATATACGAAGGTTTAAATAAGAGACGAAGTAATTTTTAATTTAATTGTTATTTCATAGAAAGAACGATTTTGCTGACGTATCTAAAAATTTAAGTAGTAGTTTTAGATCTGAAAATAAGTTTGTTAGTCCATAATTAGAGAATAATTATGTAGAGAATAATTATTAATTATCTAAATCTGAATCAGTGGATACCAATCTCAAGTGTATCACTGGGTAATCAGTAAAATTCGCAATAAAATTTAATTTAAAAAATCACTGAAACGTGGAATTCCTAATTCTAGGTAATTTTATTTAGTGTTCAATATATATATATATAGTATTGGAACGTGCAAATAGCTGTATTTGAATTATACAATACTCAAATTCTTTTTCTTTTTCACTTGAATTTCGTTGATTCAGATTTAGAGTAACCAAACTTCACGTATTATTGCCGAACTAACTAATTTTAAAATTTGTATACATATATTTTTTGTGCACAAATTACTATATATCCTTAACTGATCGTGTTCTGATCATTACGTTCGACTCTGTGGAATCGGCAACCAGAGCAAAGGAAACACTACATGGAGCAGATATATATTCTGGCTGCTGCACATTAAAAATCGACTTCGCAAAGGTGAGTACATAAGCAATTATCTTCCATAATTGTCCTCTTCTTTTTAAAACAAATTTATGCGAATTTAGATATGCAAATGTTACGCAATGATAAGGCGAATCGCATTCGCCGATTAAAAGCAATGGAAAAAGTACCGTTTAAAAAATTCTGTCATCCGGGGCATTTTTACATAATGCCACTCGTGCTAACATAGTGGAAATTCGGAAAATCTATTTGCATCATCCATTTTACGCGTCTCGTTATAATAATTCTAATTAGCAACATTATGAGTGCTGTTGCTTGTAATATAAATTTTGTATAATATTTACAATTTATTAGTGATATTTAATATAAGTATATCATTATATTGATAAAATCGATTTAATTGCACTCACGGTGCATCCATGATGAAAAATTCTATATAATTCTATATAATTGTAGAGATATAAATTAGATTAAATTATATAAATTTAGAGCTATATTGTATTTTTTCGGCCATAAATTATATTATAAGAAAAAAATCTAAATCTTTTCTTCTTGTATAAATTTAAAATTTACTGTTTAAATTTAAAATAAAATCTGATTACATAGAATTGCTACAATAATGTAGGACGTGACCCAAAAGATTTAATTTGAAAGTTAACTATCAAGATGTTTCAATATTTCATTAAATATTAAAGAGTTGTTCTTGTTAATGACTTTCCATCAAAATTCCGTTTAATAATAATACATTTCGAATATGTCAAAGGGAATATTAACAGGGAAATATCAATTATTCTGTACAAAATATTTATATTATAAGAAAATTCAGTCCATTTAAAAGAAAAAAATTTCTTATTCGTTACAACTTAATGCAGAATGATTTTGCAAAATTTATCCACGATGTCATATCCATATTAACCGAGCGAATCTTTTATGTAACAAGTGAAGCGCATATCTTTTGTGCATGATATTGTAATGCTGATAGAAGAACCTGTTTCTATAATTACGTAGCTTCTGTTCTGATTAAATCTAAATCAGCAGAAGCTTATATCGTCGATTTAAGTAACTTATCGTAATCAATGTACCCGACGCTGTCGTAAATCTTGTAATTTAACGCTTGTAACGAATAAGTGTGACACAAAATGGATTAACCGGTTTTTATCTGATTCTACCTACCTACCGCGCGCATTAGCGTGACGCGACAAACAGAGCTGCACTCTTTCACGCCCCTGTCGCGACTTTCACGCGAGAAGAATTAAGCTTCGTTCATACACAACACTGCTATTGAATAAACAAATGTTTTTTGTTGTTAAAGTAAGAGAATTGTCTCGAGTAATTCTTTAAAGATGTATATAAAAATTCTATCCGACTTCGATCAATGTATCGCCTTTATTTTTTCAATTCGTAATCGAACTTTTTGTAATAAAAGAGAGTGTTTGAAACAGCTCCTATTTTATTTTGCTCCCGTTAGTTACCGTAAGAAATTATTGATGTTAGCCCTAAAAAGTCATTTATTTTTGCTTTTATGATCCCGATGTTGGCTCGCGATAGAGACGTTGAAAGGAATATCCGGTACATTAGGCCGATGATTACAGGAGGGAAAAAATGGCTCGTGCTATACAAAAGCATGTCTCTTTGATGAGACGCATGCGTCATTCAGAAAAACATACAAGGAACAATCGAATATTAATGAAGCGTAGTAGAATAAAATTATTCATTAATGAAGATATAAGTCATGCGTGTCATATTAGATTGCATCGGATATAATTATTTTTCTACAAGTCTCAATAGTCCGGTATAATTATTATGTGAAGATGCAAAAAATATTTTATCACCATGAATTCATCTTCACATGATAATTGAAATATCGTTTATTGAGATTTGTAGAAGCCGATAAAATATTTGCTTCGACAGAAAGAAAAGAATTCGTTAGAAAATCGTATAAGAATATTTGCAAAATATTCTGTACATCATTTGCTGTCAAGAATAGTCTTAAAATTCGATTAGTATAGAACTCACCTTTTTGCTGGCAGAAATGTTCCTTCGTGCCACTTTCTTCACCATCTTTTTACGTTCAATTTCACGGTATCTTTATTGCTAACTCCCTTTGGAATATCGGTTTAGGTTTTTCTTGCATAACGAAATCCAATCATAGAATAGCGAAAATAATGATAACGACAATGGTCGGCGATAACATTATTTTCTCGCTCGAACAGGTAACTCGAAATTACTTCAACTTACTATTATCCTTCCCGATCGCTTTCTTGCTACCGACTGTGCGGGTCATATTGGAAAATGTTAGATATTTATTGGCTAAGTCAACTGTATTTTTCGTTCAAATATCGCGCACAGCTGCTTCTTCTGCAACTGAGTACATACTTGAAATTGTGAAATATGAGTTAATCGACTACTGTCATTTTGATTTCTTTGTAACGAATCTTTATTTTTTAAAATGTTAAAAATAATCTCTTAATATACAGTATAAAAACTTAATACAATAACTAACTACAATTAGATTTTACACACGATAAGTACATCAGGAAACGTTAAAGATTAAAACAGCATTAATAATTAATAATAATTATATGCACTTAGAAACATAATTATTATACATTAAATCTATATGTAATGTATAGAACTAAGATACTATGTCTTTTGATTAAAAAAAAGAAAGATTTGAAGAAAGGCTATCTACATTTAAAGAGAGCATGTATAATCCGAATACAAAGTTTCAGATGAAGAGCATAGAAATGTCGGCAAAAATTTAGGGTAGAAATATGCAGAGAGAAGCTCTAAATGCTCGCGCACGCTAGAACAAAAATAGAATCGAAGGCAGAACCTAAAGCTCGAAATTGGATTTCGAGGCGGGGCCTGTGACAGGAGTTTACCCACCCCTTATCTCCCTATTGCCAATAGAATGGCCTGCCAAATAGCGGTCGTGCTTGTTGAAAAGCGCACGTCGGCTGTAATACTGTATCTCCACGCATGAGCCATATGAATCATGCGATGGATCTTACACTCGCGTATATTTGCGTACGAGGATGAAGTATCGCAGACGTATTGGATACATCGAAGGAATATTTGAACAAGTCCCTGCATGCAAATCCCTTCGGATACATTCTCCCTCGAGCGTCCCTTTCGATGCGTCCGCGTTCTCTATCACAAGTTCTTTTTTTCGTAAGAACAAACGTGGATGGAATGACAATGTTGTATCGATTACGACACACTCTTGCAGAGATTGCTTCTGCTGGCGCAGAAACGAACTTTCGTACTAAGATTTTTTTTGTTTCTGTAACATGTTCTCTTGTTTGTCTGCGAATAACATTCGCTTTTAGACACATAAAGAATAGCGCCATTGTATACTCTTCCACAAATTCTTTATATATATAACTTGATACATAACTTTGTTACTCTTGTGTAATCACAGAAGAACATTATGTATCAACTTGTACTATGCGCTTCTTCTCGCTCTTGAAATTTCTTTTTAATGTGAGCTGTTTTTAATTTTTCTTTCTTTTTTTTTTCGGAATTTGTTGTTCTCGCCTGGGGACATTATTAGTGATCCCGAAACATTTGCAGAATTAGCACTTCCACATCCATTGTTCCATTGTTCCTATGAGTTTTTCTTTCTCTTTTCTTCCTGAAATTTCTCCTCCTCGAATTCGATATTGCTAGTGCTGCAGCTCGCAATGTGTAAAACGTGCTTCCCTTTACTCAGTAATGCCTACGTTATCTTCATTTCTTGAGAGTGCAATATTCAAAGTTTCATTATTAAACTTTCGTTGGCTACGGATCGGCGAAGAAACGAGATTGTTTGTTGAAGTTGAAAAAGTCGATAAAGTCATTCATTATTTAGACGATAAAAGCCGGTTGCGACGGTATAACTGATTCAATTGCCCGTTTTAGTCGGAGCGTGAAGTCAAATTAATTTAAATGTCATACCACTGTTATCGCGAGGTTTCTACGTCAGCTTCACTTCCGGAACTTGAAACCAAATTAATTCCCCTTCGTCGCCATTTCATAATTCTCGGAGACGATAAGACGGACATACAACGTGTCCGGCGAAATTGCCACGGCGAGTGATCCTTATTCGACGAATATCATAAAGAACGTCGACAGATTGACAAAGTGAGTCTACATGCTTACCGACCTCGAAAGCGCGCGAATTTATCGGACGGAAAGTAGTATCGCTAGGAATTGGAAGTATTTACTCGCCGTTGGAGCGACATTAACGACTCTGGCAGTGCGAACACGCACGTAGTCCAATGCATTTTACGGCTCTCTAAAAAGAGAAATAATCCAAAAAGAGAAATAGAAGAGGCGAACAAGCGTAAAAAATCAACGAGAAGTGCCAAGCTCATAAGGTATCTCGGGATGACTGCCAGTCCTTAATTCAAGATTACTTAATCGAGCCGAAGTCAGCTTTACATTAACGATAATTTGATCGAATGCCAGAATGCTTTTTTTTTGTTCGTAGCTTTTAATCTTTGACATTAACTATCTAAATATTTAAAATTTAACTACATTTTTCAAATTTTTGTTAAAAATAAAAACGCGCCATGAAAGTATAAGTATAATATTAAAATTTTAATTTCAAAGTATATTTTCCGCGCATATTGTTAGTGCTAAATGCGAGAGAGAATAATGTTCCCCTTGATTACATCACACGAATTCTATTTTTCACTTATTCGGTTTGCATGACGATGCGATTTTCGCTCGCGCAAATGGAAGAATGCAAATTTCGCAATTACTCACGGGATATTACCCCGCGTCGAGTACTTCTTTCCGTATGAAGGAAATAACAGGGCATATCACGCCTTGAAAAAACGATGTTACAAAGGCATAATGACGCGCATAAAAAACAATTACCAGCACGATTGCTGCTTAAAAGTGAGCGGAATTTGAAGAAGCGTAATTTTCAGCGTCTTTGTGAATCACAAGTGGGATCACCGTTGTGGTTCCCGTATTAAGGTATGCCGTTGCGATCCCCAAATTACATTTTCGTGAGTGGATGTACCGCATTCCGCATTCGCACCGTG